CTTCCTCCTTAAATATCATTGGCTCTTGATCATATACTACTTCTTGAAATGGTTGAACATCTACCATTTCCTTTGGTACCCCACCTCTATATATTCTTTCCTTCTTCTTTGGATGCTTTCTACATCATTGAATAATTTGCCCAGAGAATACTTCAATAACGAAAGTCAAGGCTTGAATTTTTTTCTTCAGTTCCCCCAGCTTCAGAAATGCTGAGCATGTTCTTCCTTTTTGGTTTTCTGACTCCAGATCATTTCACAATTTGTTGTATTATTTGGCTCTATCTTCTCGAGCTGATCTTTGAAATTTTCAGTTCAGCTCTTGTACCTCCTCATTTCTTCCATTTGCTTTAGCATCCCTACACTGGAGAGCATGTTTCAGTGTCTCTTCTGACATCCATTTTGACCTTTTCTTTATTTCTTGTCTTCTTAATGAGTTTTTGCTTTGCTGTATGATGTTTTTGTTGTATGATGTTCTTGATGTCATCACACAACTCTTCTTGTCTTTGGTCTTTAGTGTGTAATGTATCAAATATGTTTTTCAGATGAGCTCTAAATTTAGGTGGGATATATTCAAGGTCATATTTTGGCTCTCGTGGACTTTTTTTCATTTTATTCAGCTTCAGTTTGAATTTCATATGAGCAATTGATGGTGTGTTTCACAATCTGCCCCTGGCCTTGTTTTGACTGGTGATATGGAGCTCTTCCATTGTTTCTTTCTGAAGATGTAATCAACATGATTTCTATGTATTCCATTTGACAAGGTCCATGTGTATAGTCATATCTTATGTTGTCTAAAGAAGGTATTTGAAATGTACAAATCTAGAGCCACACATTCTCCTAATATAAATATGCTGTTGTTGTTAAATGCCGTTGAATCTGTTATGACTCATATTGACCCTGTATAGAGTTTCTGAGGAAAGCTATTAAGCTTGAACTGCTCACCTTGCAGTTCAAACTGACCTTGCAGTTCAGTGCATTAACCCATAGCAGCACATCAGGATTCCGTATATGTGTTGGAGTCCACATCCAAAAGATTCTTGGAATGTTTTTGCAAGTATAAATGCCATGTACTATTGGCGAGGCTAGCTGTACAAAATGATGTTCTGAGATATCACTGATAGCAGATATATAGTATTTGCAATTTCTATTAATTTAATAGTTTTGTGTACTGTTACAATCATGCTTGTTGCCTGGATGCAATAAGAAGAGATGTTAAATTTCAGTTGTAGATTAAAAAAAAAAAAAAAAAGTTATTCTTTTCTGAACCCCTTATTCAATCCTTTGTGATTTCTATTCACATATGTTCTCTTTTGTTGTGGTGGTGTCCTAGGATAAGCACTCCACCTCGGGGTCAATTTGAACCACAAGGTCAGTGGTTCAAACTCACTCACCATTCCTCGGAAATCCTATACAGGGTCGCTATGAGGCAAAACCGACTCAAGGACACTTAACAATAACAACAATGGGCTCCTATTGTGGCACTGTAGGATCAGTATTGGACTATGAACCACAAGGTAGATAGTTCAAACCCACCAGCTGTTCCTCAGAAACACTACACAATGTTGCTATGAGTCGGAACTGACTCTATGACAGTAAACAACAAAATGTTATATTAAGATCTTCAGTCCAGGAAAAACAAGCCAGTATTTTTCATCTAAATGTGGAGAAACAATTTAGAGCATATTATAAGATTAATTTGTGAGGTTTCTGTTGATGGTTATGTTCTGTAAAGTCAGTTCTGACTCTTAGCAACCCTATACAGGGTTTCCAGGCTGTAAATCTATACTGGAGCAGAAAATCTCATTTTTCTCCCACTCAACAGCTGGTAGTTTCAAATTACTTACCATGACCTTAGCAGCCCAATTGCAACCACTAGGCTGCCAGAGCTCATTTTTGAGATTTCATAAAAACTATTGTCACTAAGCAAACCTTAACACAATAACGGCACTTTAGTGTTATCATTTTACTTAGGGAAAGTTGTTGTTGTTGTTAAGTGCCATCGAGTAGGTTTCAATTCATTGTGACCCTGCATTGGATTTCAGCGGAGCTGCTATGGGTTTGAACCAGTGACCTTGAGGCTGGTAGTCAAGTGCTTATCCTTCAGTACCACACCATGAAATGTAGATTGCTTAAAATGGATTCATTCAATAATGAGTAGAGCCCACTTTTTTAGCATTATGATGCGAATGTGGCATATTTGTATTTCCTACCCACGTTGGCTCTTGATTAATTTTGTGTTTATCCTGTCACAGGAGAAACAGACCTCATTTTTACTAGCTTTTCAAAAGTCTCCAACATGATTCTAAGCATAACTCATAATATGTAGTGAAACTTACGATGGAATTACTTTGATCTTCCAGGTTTCCAAGTTCTCTGTCTTTGGCAGACTTCAATTTTACTGCTTTTCTGTGGCTGATTTTAGTGGTAAAGGTTTGAGGTTGCCTCCTGATGTATGTTCTTACTTTTACAGGTTTCATTATATGACGCTATATATTTTCCATTGGGTCATTAAGGAAATGTTCATTGGAGCCCAAACTAATAATAATAGAGCTCTGATATTTAGGTATTTAGAAAGAAAGGCACATTTGGGAAGACGGAAGGGGTCAATGTATTTCAACTGAATGAAGGCAAAAGCCTTGATTGGATATAGTGTTTCAATAGGATAGTGAATCTTGATAGAAAATGAATGATATCTGTTTCATTATCAATGCAGTGCATGCAATCATAGGCCCAAGGCACTCGGTGTTTATATCTTTTTATACACCATAATCTTAACAATACCTAAACCTTATAAACTTTATTACAGAAATCTTTCACAGAAATACACTATATTTAATTTAATTGTGTGTTATGGAATCTCATTTTTTTCCTATTTTTTTTCTAACAGTTTTAGTTGTACTGTTTGCTGCACTGAAGAGGCAAAGGAAAAAGGAACCACTAATAATTTCAAAAGACGATGTCAGAGACAACATTGTGACTTATAATGATGAAGGGGGCGGGGAAGAAGATACTCAAGCTTTTGATATAGGAGCGCTAAGGAATCCTGAAGCCAGAGAAGACAGTCAACTTAGAAGGGATATAATGCCTGAAACTATCTTTCAGATAAGGAGAACTGTGCCTCTGTGGGAAAATATTGACGTACAAGATTTTATCCATCGAAGATTAAAAGAAAATGATTCAGACCCAAGTGCACCTCCTTATGATTCACTGGCAACTTATGCCTATGAAGGCAATGACTCCATAGCAGATTCACTCAGTTCTTTGGAATCTTTCACAGCAGAGTGTAATCAAGATTATGGTTACCTCAGTGACTGGGGACCTCGCTTTAAAAAATTGGCTGATCTGTATGGGGGTGATGATAGTGATCGAGAGTAAGAGTACTTTATGACTTGATCATTATTAGCAGAAGTACTATCTTTGTTACTAGGTTGAGTGACCTGAATTCTCCTTCTGGAAGGAAATTAAAAAAAAAAAAAAAAAATTAAAATAACAAACAATACTTAGGTGTTGTCTTAGTAAAGGTTTTCATAATCAGTAAGTTTCTGTGAATGAATACGAATGACATAGATTAAATAATAATAATAATAATAATAATAATGAGTTCACCCTCCTTGCCTAACAATATCTTAAGGAAAATATATCACATGAATAATCAATAAAAAAAATACTTTAAAGGCTTTTTGTGCCTTTTTCTTAACTCTAAGAACTTTATAAATGTTTTCCTAATTGACTTCTTGAAACATTGTACAACTACTTTGTAAACTGATATGAAAATATATATATACTTAAAAAAAGGAATGACTATTACTGCCATATTTATTTAGTTGAAGGATGTCTTTGTGTTAATTCATTCATATTTTTATAAATGTATATTTCTATTTTTGTATTTTTATGAAATAAACTGGTATTTATAGAAACTAATTTTATTTTATTTTATTCTTATAGACAGTTCTGATCTTACTTAGAGCTGAAAAATTTAAATCTTAAAATATAAAACATGATATCTTAAGGGAAGAAACATCTAAATTGTTACTCCATTGTATTTGAAACTAGAATGTGGTGGGAATATAAATAAGCTTTTGTAGAGTCTGTGATTTTCTGTGTCAATCAACTAAACATGACTAAGATTTTTTGTACCACAGTTGCATACCCATCAATTGGATGAGAAACATGATTGGAATATAAAACTCTATAAATATGTTGTTGTTGTTATGTGCCATCAAGTTGGTTCTGACCGATAGAGACCCTGTATAGGATTTCCGAAGAGCAACTGGTGAGCTTGAGCCACCAACCTTGCAGTTCAAATGGCTTTGCAGTCTGGCGCATTAATCCACAACACCACACCAGGACTCCGGAAATTAAGCTTTAAGATTTTTCGTATAAGTTTTTACTGTTGGGATAATAATCAATGGGTTTTATTTCAGATTATAACCAATAGAATGTATTTGAAACTAAATAAATAGGTAAAGTTATACAGTTGAAGAAAAAGTCCAAATCACTTTTTCTCCAACAGTTTTGGGACTAAGAAAAAATAGTTTTGATTTTTCTTCCCACTGATCAGACTGTCTGGGTGCTACATCTCAATTTAGTGTAAATAAACTATATGACTATGTATAATCAATAAAATAATCAAAGTAGTATTTCTATATGTGATATAAACATATTCATGTATATTTCCAGTTGAATTTTCAGTCATAGGGTTAATGTGCTGGACTTCAAAGTCGGTTTGAATCGCAAGGTTGGTGGTTCATACCCACCCACCCACGTATACACACACATGTGTGTGTGTATACAGATATAACACCATTACTATTATATATAACTTCCAGAGGTTCAAGCCAGATTCAGAAGAAGACGTGGAACGACGGATCTCATTGCTGATGTCCGATGGATCTTGGCAGAAAGCAGAGAATATCAGAAATATGTTTACTTGTGCTATATTGATTATGCAAAGGCTGATTGTATGGGTCATGACAAGCTATGGACAACATTGTGAACTATGAGTATTTCGGAACACTTAATTTTGTTTGTGAGGAATCTCTACATGGACAAAGAGGCAGTTGTTCAAATAAAATATGGAAACACTGAATGGTTTAAAATTAAGAAAGATGTGTGATAGGGTTGTATTCTTTCACCATACTTATTCAAGCTGCATGCTGAGCAAATCA